CGGGGCTGGAACCGGCCTGTGCTCAGCCTGTCATCCTCCTGCCTCAGCCTCTCCAGTGGGGCTCATTCAGAGTGCTGAGAGTTCTCGACTACTTAGCTGCTGCAACTCAGAGACCGAGGGTGGACAGCGGCTGACCTGCCAAGTCCTCTTCAGAAGGGCGGCGTGGTGTCTCGTCTGTGCTAGGGTGGGCGGCGTGACTCGTCTTAAGGAATGCATCTTTTCTAGAGCTACATTTACAAAGTGATTGGAAGGTTTTGTTTTTTGTTTTTTGGGGGGTTTTTTTTGTAAAATAAAGTCAGGGGCCGGGAAGATAGCTCAGTAGAATAATTGCTTGCCTGGCAAGCACAGGGTCCTGAGTTCAATCCCTGGTACCAAAAAGAAAGAAAATTTAGGGGGCCGGGGAGATGGCTCAGTAGAATAAGCACTTGCCTGGCAAGCTCAAGGGCCTGAGTTCAATCCTCGGTTCCGCAAAAAAAAAAAAAAAAAAAAGTCAAATTGTAAACACACTCATAGTTTTTCTGTGTTTTTTTGAGACAGGGTCTCACTATGTAGCCCAGGCTGGCCTCCAACTCCCAGTGATCTTTCTGCCTCAGCCTCCTGAGTGCTAGGATTATAGCCTTGTGTGCCACTATACCTGGACCCCCAGCCCCTTTTTTTAAAAATTTATATTTATGTGTGTGTGTGTGTGTGTGTGTGTGGCCAGCTCAGCCCACCAGGGGGCGTGGCTGGCTGGCATGTGGTGCTGGAGATTGAACCGCGGTCCCTGGGCTTTGTAGGTGCTTTAGACCACTGAGCCATCTCACCAGCGCCCCCCCCTCTTTTTTTTCTTTTTTCCTTTTTTTTTTCAGTTCCAGGGATTGAACTCGGGGCCTTGTACCTGCCAGGCAGATGCTTATGCCACTGAGCTATCTCCCCAGCCCACCCCTCGCCCTCTTTAATATTTTTGTTTGAGATAGTCTTGCTTAGTGGTGTTATTACCCAGCATGGACTACTCAAATGTGTGATCCTCCTGCCTCAGCCTGCCAGGGAGCACGGCCACAACAGGCGTGCACAACACACACAACTGTTGCATCCTTTAAGAAAGGACGCTAAGTGACTTCCTGAGCAAAGCTCTGGACACTGCCCCAGTGCATACTTTACCATCTAAGGAACGGCAGGGGTATTTGGAGAGATCCAGGGCCATGCTCATAAAATGAATGAATACATCTCATTATTTAAGTAGTCACTGCATACATGGAACCAGTTCATATGTGCTCATTTTATTAAGAGCCAAAGCGGGACGTGGTGCCAGACGGGCCCGTAGTCCCAGCCCTCGGGGGGCTGAGGCAGGGGATCGCCAGCCTGGGCTATACAGTGAGGCCCCGTCTCAGAAAACAAAAAGATCAAACTGACAAAAGCCGCAGGCAGCTTTGAAGAAAGAGGCAAGGGCTTGCCAGCCTTGGGAGCAGGTCCCGTGCCTCTGGAGAGCGAGCAGACCCCTTAGTGAGCCGTTATTCTCTTCTTAATATTTTGAAATCCTAAGGGAGAAGTCAAATGAAACTAAACAGGAAATAGCGTCACATTTTTGGCTTTGCGAATGATCTAAAATTAGCAAGCTAAGTAGATTACAGACTACAGTACTTTTGTCTTTAAACTCCTTAGGATTTTAAAATCCCAGGCTGCAGTCTAGTCTCGGTTTAGAAAGGGCCGCGCTGCAGCCCTGTCATCCTAGCTGTGGGAGGCTGAGGCAGAAGGATCTCTGTGGGTTGGAGGCCAGCTTGGGCTAATAGGCCCTATGTAAGCACCCACACACACACAAAACCATCGGCAACTCTGACGTTTTGGGCAGTGTAGGGGCTGTGTAGCCTAGCAGGAAGGGGTCACGGCCTGTACACTCCAGGCCACCCTCGTTTATCTGGGGAGACCCTGAGGGCTTGCCAGGAAATTCCAAAGTCCGAGCTTGCTGTTTCTGCGCACGCGTGAAAGTCTGGGTCGCAATCGGAGCTGTCTGGGACTCTCCGCTCAGGCAGCTGGGCCACTTCTGGGCTTTGAGATACCCGCTCGAGGACTCATTCTCAGTGAGCAGAACCCGCTCGCCTGTGCTATGTGCTGTGTGGTGCTGCTTCTCTTTAGTTTTAGAATGGGAAATTCGGTTTGGAGATTTAGCACGCGGCGTGGGCCCCGGTGAAACGCCATCCCTGGGTGAGACGACAGCGGCTGTTCTTACGCTGCCTCATGCGGAGGCGGGAGACGGCAGCGCAGGACTTCCTTCGGCCCCAGACGGCCGAGATCCGCTCCGGGAAGTGTCTTGTCACCACCTCAGTGCTCCAGGGACAGTGCTGAAAATACTTTTAAAGATTTTCTTTTGTTGCTTTGTTGTTTTGGGGGTTTTTTTGAGGTAGGGGCCTGCTGTGTCATCCAGGCTGGCCACGAACTCGAAGCCATCTTCCTGCCTCAGCCTCTGGGTCCTGGGCTGGCAGGTGTCTGCCACCACGCCCAGCTAAGATATTTTTTTAAAGGTACTTGCAATAATGAGCAACCGCCTTTGAGAAACCAGTGACTGTTGAATTCCATTGTAAAATAAACATAAGGGCTCTCTAAACCAAAATAGATTTCCATAGCGAATCCGCTCGGTGCAGGGTGCATTCCTCGAGTGGACGTTAATCCAAAGCAGCTGCAGCTGGCGCAGAGCGGCCGCTCCATGTCCTGCAGGGGCTGTGGGCTGAGCACAGCGGTGCCTGGCGTCTGAGGGCCCAAGTTGTGCGTTGGAGAAAATCACCCCAGGAGGCCCATGCCACTTTGCCCCTGTGCCGGCCAGTCGGGGCAGGGTCCCCAGGAGGCCCTTCCCGCCGCTCCCCCACGGGGTCAGCGCTGCGTGGCAACTTGGTAGAAGATGTCAGGGCACTCAGGGGTCAGTGATTATGTGGTTAGCATCAGCTGCAGGGACCCGGGAGCTGGGAGGAGGGGCTCACAGTGGCCCGCCCTGTGCCCCTGGGGACCTCTGGAGGCGCCCTGGTGTAGGATCTATCAGGTTGGTAGGAGCAGATTTATAATCAGGAGGCTGAGGCAGGAAGATCACTTGGAGTTCGAGGCCAGTGTGAACTACATGGGGAGACCTTGTCTCAAAAAAAAAAGGTAAAGGGCTGGCGAGATAGCTCAGCGGACTAAAGTGCCTGCTCAGGCAAGTTTAGGCAAGCACAGGTACGAAGGTTCGATCCCCAGCACCACACACTACGCCAGTCCCGCCTCTGGGGCAGGCTGAGCCAGCCACAGAGTCTGGTTGTGGTGGCGCACACCTGTAATCCCAGCGCTGGGGAAGCTGAAAGCAGGAGGATCACCACAAGTCCGAGCTATGTAGCGAGACCCTGTAACAACCAAATACTTAAAAAAAGTAAATAAAAACCAAGGGAAAAAAAAAGCAGAAGACATCCCCAAAGGGAGCCTCACTTGCCTCGTAAGCTCTGTTTGTTCTGTGCTTCACTGGAGAGAGAAGGAATTTCCCCTCCCGCCCCTCTGGGTTTTTGTGTGTCTTTCCGGGGAAGGTGTGTAGGTAAGAGAGAATACTTTAGAAAGGTCAGTTCTCTGCGGGGATTCCCTGGGTTTTTCTCTTCGTGTCCTACAAGGCGATCACCACTGAGGCGGAAGGCCGAGGCGAGAGCCAGGTGCCTTTGCTGGCAGTGCTGGGGACAGATGGTGTCCCCGTGGGTGGCTTCCGCCCAGCGCCGTGGCTGGACAAGCCTGGGTCTGGGGGCCCAGGGGTAAGGCTGGTGGCCACAGTGAGAGGAGGGGTGCCTGGGCCCCTGGCAGGGAGGCAGTGTGAATCAGGAGGACACACACAGCCGTGGGACCCCCTACCTGCACCCCGGGCCGGCCCTGGTGTCACACGAGGCGGAAACCGTGTAGAGCATCTAGAGGGGACGCACACTGGGGCCTGGCCTGTCGCCGCCTCTGCGCAGCCCTGCTGTGCGGTTTCTTGCGGTTTTTGTTTCTTGAGACAGGGTCTTGCAGTGCAGCCCAGGCTGGCCTTGAAACTTCAGTGAGCCTCCTGCCTCAGCCTCCTGAGTGTTGGGATGGATGACAGACGTGTGCCACCGTGTCCGGCTTGCGTTTTTTCTTTCCCCTCATTAGGTCTCTGCTCTTTTCTTTGGTACCGGGTATCGCGCTAGGGACCTTGTACTTACCCGGCAGGCGCTGTGCCACTGAGCTACCTCCCTAGCCCCTAGCATGCTTTCTGTCATGCTGGTTTAGGGACACAGAGACAGGTTCACCAAGCTGAGCTGTTGCGATGGTGGGCCCTGCCCTTGGCGGCAGGTGGCTGGGGCGGGCTCTGTGCCGTGGTTGGGTCCATGTCGCCTGGTGACGTTTTACAAGGTCCTCTGAGAGCAGTGGTTCCTGTCTGCTTGGTTCCTGGACCCCTTGGGAATTGGCTTTTAAGATGTGTGGGCTCTCATTTGTCCCACTGCAGGAGCAAGGCCCGGCAGCAGTGCATGAGCCACCCCGGAGCAGACTGCAGGGAGCCCAGGCCCAGTGTCAGCCCAGGACGTGTGAACACAGCGGGACAGTGGGCTTGTGACAGACGAGGGCAAACATGCCTTCCCTACAGAAATTTCAAGTTCTCAAATTTAAGACTTTTTTGGCAGAGTCTCGCTGTGTAGTCCAGGCTGGCCTTGAACTCACTCTGTAGCTCAGTCTGACCTCAAATTTGCAGTCCCCCTGCCTCAGCCTCCTGAGTGCTGGGATGACGGGTACACCACCATGCCCAGCCAAGGCATTTAAAAAAAAAAAAAAAAGCTTCTGCATCCAGGCGTAGTGGTTCCTGCCTGTCATCCTGGCACTCAGGAGGCTGAGGCAGGAGGATCACTATGAGCGCTAGACCCTGGGTTAGCTAACAAGAACCTGTCTGGGATGGATGGAAGGATGGCACCTGCTCCACACAGCCCTTTGAGGTGCCGAAGTCCTGGCACACTGGCTGAGGCCTCCAGGGATGATGCGTGGATGTGTGGTTTCTCGTTTTGCTCCAGGCGCGGCAGCAGGCTCAGATCCGACACCAGATGGCGGAGGACAGCAGGGCCGACTACTCCTCCACCCTGCAGAAGTTCAACCAGGAGCAGCACGAGTTTTACCACACACACATCCCCAGCATCTTCCAGGTGCGCTTCTGTCCCCGTCTCCGCCTGCACTGGGATGCGCCCCTCGGAGGCACCGTTGCCGGTCTGTGCTCGCAGGGATTCCGGGGTCCTCGCTCCCGCTAACATTCTGGAAGCGTCGACGGCGAGCCTCGGCTGGCTGTAAAAACGCAACGCAACATTCATCTGAAAACCTCCTCCGTCTGCTCCTGCAGCTTCTTGTTTTTCCCTTCCCAGCTTCAGAACTGTGACTCTTAGATTTCTGTCCTCTTCGCTAAAAGGGCCATTCTGGCCACAAAAATGTCAGCTTCCCTGTAGGGGACAAAGCAGCATTCACCCGGCTTCAGGCTTCGAACAATGCCTCTTCTTTTGTTTGGTTTGTTCTCCTTTGGCTACTTTAGTTTGTCAGAAATGCAGAGAGCGGGCTGCGGGTGGAGCTCAGTGGTCTAGCGCTTGCATGGTGAGGTCCAGGCCCAGAGACAGCCCAGTGGGGTGGTGCACGCCCATAATCCAGCACTCGGGAGGCTGAGGCAGGCGGAGCCGTGAGTTCCAGCTTGGTCTGTATAGTAAGACTGTCTCAGAAAACCACCAAGCAAACCCGATTGGGCACGGCAGACCCTGGCAGCCGGCTGGTGCGGCGGCACAGGGAGGGGAACGGCCCCTACCCTCAGGGCCCGATATCAGGAACCCCTTCCTGCAGTGCTAGTGGCCCAGGTTCTTACCTGAAATCTGATGATGTGGCAGAAAATCCAGGAGATGGAGGAGCGGCGGATCGTGAAGATGGGTGCATGCATGAAGACCTACGCTGAGGTGGACCGGCAGGTGATCCCCATCATCGGCAGGTGCCTGGATGGCATCGTGACAGCGGCCGACGCCATCGACCAGAAGAGTGTGAGTGGCGGCTGTGGGCATCGGTGCACTGGGTTTCCTTGTGTGCCTCGGGGAGCCCCCAGGGTGGGGAGTCGCCTGCCAGGTATTCCTGCCTCAGCCTCCTGAGTGCTGAAATGACCGGTGTGTGCCACTACGCCAAACTTTAAATAAATACTTGTTTCTCAAAAAGTAGAAAAATGACTAATGGAAATATTTTCAGATATCAATTAGAGATAGGCCTTCATGATTTTTTTAAGACTCAGTAAATATATATATTTTTTAGGGCGGGTCTATAGGGTCTCACTACATAGATTAGACTCATAGTGATTCTCCTGTTTTCAGCCTCCCAAGTGCTGGGATTACAGGCGTACACCACCACACCCAGTCTCAGTCCCAGTCTCAGCGTGCCCTGGGCCAGGTCGGCACAGCACTCTGGGGATCAAACTCCAGTCACTGTGCTCTGCCTAAGCAGGCACTTTAATCTGCTGAGCTATCTGGCTAGCCCTTTGTATTTATTATTAATACATAGTTTTTACATTTCTTTTTTTTTTTTTTTTTTTTTTTTTTTTTGTCCTGAGGCTCAGACTCAGTCACTCTCTCATGCTATGCAGATACTCTACCACTAAGCTATATATCCCCAGCTCTGCCTTTGTGAATTATGTTTATTCATTCTAGTGATAAACATGTTGATAGGCAAAATAATATCAATCAATATAATTTTCTTAGAATAGCAGCTACACAAGATGACCATAATTTATTGTAAAAATATTTGCATAAATAGGGCATGGCCACACACGTCTGTAATCTCAGCTACCTGCAGCAGGAGGAGTAAATTTGCACAACCGTGTATCGAAACTGATCAGCAAAAAGGGGTGAGGGTATAGCTCAGCATCCCCCGAGTTCAGCCCGCAGTGCCACGAGGAAGAAAGAAAAAGCCCTCGCACCCACTGACTGCAGCCCTGTGGTTGTGGGTGTCACTTCAGGATTCACAGCTGGTGATTGAAGCTTATAAGTCAGGCTTCGAGCCTCCGGGGGACATCGAGTTTGAGGATTACACCCAGCCCATGAAGCGCACCGTGTCGGACAACAGCCTGTCCAACCCGCGCGGGGATGGCAAGCTCGAGCTCAAGTTCGGTGGCAAATCCAAAGGGAAGTTGTGGCCATTCATCAAAAAGAACAAGGTACTGACAGTTCAAACCAGTGCGAGATGGGTTGGATAAAGTGTGGAGATTTTTAACTTTAAAAAACACCTTAGCTCTTAAAACTGTAGTTTCAGAATGGGAAGCGGTCAGCTAGCGCGTGGCTTGGTGTCTCGGTGGCAGTGGCACCTCTGCTGTGGCCCTTATCTTACTTCAGGCCCACCCTCACTGCCCATGCCACCCCACTAACCACTGGCTGCGCGGCCCTGTTGCACCTCCTCTTTGGCCCCAGGTGCCCCTAGGTGGCCAGGTTCCCTGGCTGGGAGAGGGGATAGCACCTTGTTTCTATAATAACCCATCAGCTCGTTGCCACGGCTGACAGCTCGGTTTTGAACTCACGTTAACACATAGCCCTGGACACTGCATACTTCCCTTGCGTAGCGTGGTACGTGGGTGCATGACGGCTTAACCCGGGTGATGTACGTTAGCATCGAGGCGACATGATGCTCTAACCCTGTAGGGTGGTTCAGCGGTTCATTTAAAGCCTACCTTAGCGTCTAAGGTCTGTGTTTTCTTCCATTCGCTCTGTTAGCATAAGAGGTGGAGCCCCTTGACCCTCCAGGCTTAGAGCGGGTGTAGAGTGACTAACGGAGCGGTAGTTGGCTTGCGGATGTCGCATGAGCTCCTCCCCTGTCGCGAAGCCCGCTAACCCCCTCCCTCTCGTCCCCCCCTCCGTTGCAACGCAAGCACCACGCTTTCCTTTGGACCATGGCCTAAATATGTAATGGTTTGTGTTTTACTTGCTTTCGATTTCCAGTATGATTTGATGCTTATTTTTGTTTTGTGTCTCCTTGTTTCTGGTTTACTGTGTCACCGCTCATCTCACACGTAGCTTGTGTCCCTTTTAACGTCCCCCCATCAGCCCCCCCCTCCGCCCCCCACCTCCGCCTCACCCTCTGCTGTTCCCAACGGCCCCCAGTCTCCCAAGCAGCCAAAGGAGCCCCTCTCCCACCGCTTCAACGAGTTCATGACCTCCAAACCCAAAATGCACTGCTTCAGGAGCCTAAAGCGAGGGGTAAGTGCCGCTTGGAATCTGTCTCTGCGCACGTGTGTTGCTCCTTCTCGTTCTGCTGACTTGCTTTGTTTGTGAATGAATCCACTGTTTCCTGCCATATCAAAAAAGAAAGAAAATCCTAAGATTCATTGTAGCTGGAAAGAAAACAGGAATGGGAAGAAAGGAAGGATCCGAGCGTGGTGGTGCACGCCTGTGACCCCAGCCCTCAGGAGGCTGAGGCAGGAGGGTCACTGGGAGTTTGAGACCAACGTGGGCTACACAGTGAGCTAAAGGCCAGCCTGGACTACAAGGCAAAGTCTTGCCTCAAAAATTATAAAAGAAAGAAGGCTAAAGGGCTGGTGACATAGCTCCGAGAACTAAGTGCCTGCTTAGGCAATCACAAGGACTGGGTTTCAATCCTCAGCACCACATGCTTTACCAGACCCTCCCCCCAGGGGTGCTGAGCCAGCCACCGAAACCAGATGTGGCACACACTGTAATCCCAGTGCTGGGGAGGCTGAGACAGGAGGATCGCTGCGAGTCCGAGCTGCTTAGCGAGACCCTGTACCAAATACATGAATAGGAAGCAAGCATGCAAGCAGGCTGTGGGGTGGGCTGGTGGAAGCAAAGCGACAGACAGCCTGGGTTTTTTTGTCTCTGGTTCATTGTGAAAGGACTTTTCTTTTCTTCCCCTTTAAAGCATCACCTTGATTTTACCAAAAGAGGAAATGCAGATTCAGTTTCTAAAACTGAGTATGAGATGAGGAACTGGGAGGGACAGCACGGTCAGAGGACATTTGCTTACTAATTCTGAGGCCACGCAAGCAAGAGTGAGCGTCCTGTCAGTGCTTCTGTCGGAGCTGTGCTCCTGGCTCAGGGGAACTGGCCCGACACACCCTTGTAGCAGCTGCTAGCGAGGCCCTAGGATGCTGCTGATAAAGTCTTCCCTGGAGGAGCCCTGGTACAGAAATCAGAAATCTTCCAGAGGGCTGGAGAGATGGCTCAGTGGTCTAAAGCACCTACTTGAAACAAGCTTGGCAAAGCACAGGGACCGCGGTTCAATCCCCAGCACCACATGCCAGCCA